AAATGGAAAGAATAGAACAGACACACAAATAGACGGATGGACAGATTGATGAACAGCACACGGTTACAGTATGGGAAGACAAACCCTCTGGTCAGGCTGCCTGTGTCTGTGCATTCATCCATCTGCCTGTCTGCCTATACATCCGTCAGACAGACAAATGTACAGATCAACAGAAAGAGCCTTGTGCATGCCAAAGACAAATGGAAACACTTTGGAAAGGAAAGACTAAGACATGCACAAGGACACAGAGAGACAACAACAACAACAAAAAAAATGCAGAGTTGAATGCCTGTAGAAAGAATACACGGACAGGGCTACAGATGCAGCTGGGAAGAAAGGGACTAGAGAGCCAGGAAGACAAGCAGGCATGGAGAGAGGTGTACAAGCAGACAGACAGACAGACAGACAGACAGATAGATAGATAGATAGATAGATAGATAGATAGACACGCAGACGGGCACTGAAAGACAGTCAGTCAGAAAGACAGACAGACAGACAGATGGACGGACAAACAGACAGACAGACAGACAAACAGAGACAGATAGACAAATAGACAGACAAACGGACACTGTCAGACAGATGAATAGACGTATAGACAGATATATAGGCAGACAGACAGATGCCAATGAATGCACAGAGACAGGCAGCCTGACCACAGAGACAGACAGACAGACAGCCACCCATAAGTGCATACATACATACATACATACATACATACATGCATACATACATACATACATACATACAATGTCATACATTCATACATACATACATACATACATACATACAATGGCATATGTACATACAGGTAAGTGAGTTTGTGTCACAAAAGAAGTTTGAAAGGGCAAAAAAAACACGAACGGGAAAAAGCAATGGCACCCAAACCCGAAGGGGTGATGAAAGCATCGTGCGCTGTGGTCCAGGCCGGGTGTCATAACAGCAGGAGTCGGCCATGTTGTCAGACAGGAAAAGAAAACGAATGAGTATTTACTACTTACCAATGGCGGCACGCGGCACTTCCATTGCCCTTTCGAGTTCAGTGGTCGCTCTTTTCGCCCATTCGTGTGTTTTTTTTTGCCTTTACAGTGTTTACACAAGTTTACAGTTTCAAATAGTGTCATTGCCACACTTGTTTCAAACCAAAAAAAAAAGTGAAACAGAGAGACACACAAACGCAGACAGGCAGACAAACAGACAGTGGGAGTGACAAGCAGAAAGACAGACAGACCGACAGAGAAGGGCATACAGACACACACTGTCAGATGGCTATGTAGACACACATACAATCATGTAGACAGACAGGTAGATGAACAGATAGATGTGCATGCGGACAAGCATTCAAACAATTTTTTCTTATTATTTTTTTTTGCAGGCGTCTTGTTTCCCCCTCGGCCTCCTCTTGGACTTGCCAAGAGGGCTACCTCGCCAACGAGCTCCGTCCTTTGGCCGGAAACATCTTTTAACTTCAAAGACCGTAATACCACCTCCCGGTCATACCGGAGTTTCCCCTAGCTCTATCCGCTGTCCAAATTTTAGCCCTACGACTCCTATCCCTGTAGCCAGAACTATTTACTCTTATACCCCTGGCTCCAGGGATACAGAAACACAGCAGAAGGATGGAGTAAACAGACGGTCAGGAACTCAGAAGCAACAAACATCACATCATTCACATGGGCCCATGGACACACAGACAACAGAGCAAGCAAGACTCCCAGACTCAGCAATCTCACCAAATCAAACCAACAGATACTAGCAGTTTGAATCTCAGATATGCACAAATCTCAGAGTGCAACTGTGAGGGAGGGTCATTGCACCAATCTGTATGACATTGTTTATATCTCCAAATTTGTCTTAATTGAAAAAGAAGATTAATTTTGGTGTCTTAAAATGGTGTATAACACATCTACCTGGACGAAAACCAAACACTTGC